GTACACAGTGATGCTCCAGATGACTGTGGAACAGTTTTTGTTAAGTCTAAAGGGATTCTTCTTAATTCAGGAATTATGCACAGTCCACGCTTCAGAGAACGCCAGGAGAGCATGGAAAAACTAGGAGCCTAAAATAAAGATACACTAGAACCTTTTAGGAGTGAGGAGAAGGCCTAAGTGCAGTTATTTAAAAGATCTCTTACTCCTCTGTGAAAAGGTATTCAACACTTAGTTATTTTTGTCACAATAACAAAAGAGAAAGCAGAGCAAAAACTGTTACTGAACCATTATTTTTTGGTCTCTAACACTAAATGTAAAATTTTTCTTCTCCTTCCTTTAGAAATTCATATTTCCAACCATTTCTGATTTAAATTTGTTAAATATTAATAGTTCAACCTCTTTGGTGAGTTTGTTGAAATTTTAGAAGCAGAAGATAGCAAAATGAGCGTTCACATTTCTAAACTACAAGCAAATTTGAATAATGCATGGCAGAACCAAGATCAAATAAGGAATGAAAAAAAATACAGTTATTTAGAGATAGATATACTGGACTACAGTTTAATTAAAATACTTGTCTTCAAAAAGGAATCACACTGGTTTTCAGTACTCCTTGTGCCAAGTCACCAACATATGGCACGGTTGTCTTACCTGAAACTGAGCCATTAATGCCAGTGGATTATTTTGACTGTTGTCAAATGTCAAAACGTCAAAGATTCCAACACAATTAACTCGTAACCTTTAGGAACAAGAAGAGAAAAGGAAAAAGTGTCATTAAATTTTGTTGGTTACTCCATTTTTCCTCTAGCATTCATTGAATGCTTTGATTGACAAAACGTCATCAGTACTTAGCAAATTACTATGAAGCAAGTTACTATTACTACTTGATAAACTGCAACAGACAGCCTTCAGGTTACAAATAAATCAACAAATTTCTAAATTGTCAGTAGTGAATCTGAACAGTACTTTGAGGATAATGCATAAGTCTTCCCAAAATATGTTTAAAAAGAACTTTAAAAAAAATTTACAAGTTTTAGCATGTATTCATTTTTAGTCTCATGCCAGTTAAAAGTAACAGAACTTTCTAGTTAGACTTTGTTATTTCCATAACAGGGGTGTGGTCAGCAGCTACCATGATCACAGTACACAGTGAGAATGAACACTTTCATTACCTTGTTTTGCCCGTTACTAGAATCTTGGTTGGATCCATAACTCGGCACGCCAGTCCTGCTGTATGAATGGTCCGTAACGCAGAGCTGAGCTGCACAATATATGCCCATATCAAAGACTCTGGAAGCAATCCAGCATGCTGCCGTGGTAGAGGTCCATCATGCTGACCTAGAAGCAAAATGTTGTAAGCATCAACAAAAGGCTACTACATAAAATTAAAGTTAGCACATTTTGAATTATACAATTAATTCACATACTCATTCAACTCTTAACAGTCCTCAAAAGACTTATTTGTTGTGCTTTAATGGTTGGGTTGAGGGCTTTTTTGTTTGGTTTGAGTTGGGTTTTTTTTAGAAAGACACCACATTTTAAAATGCTGACAATTCATTAGGCATGATTTTCACTCTCACGTTCACGAAAACTATGCTGATTTTTAAAGTTTAGGATGAGTAATCACTACAAAAAGAGCACTGGTTAGAAATTCCTGAAAGTGGGCGGTACATCAAAATATGCAGGTACTTCAGAAGTAAGAATGCCGGTATTCTGAAACAATGAGCATGTACCACAATAGCTGCAACAGATCGTATTTTACCTCCTCTATTGTAGGAAGGTTCACAAATTAAACGTTGTCTGTCATCTGATAAGACGAAATAACAAGCTAGTTTCAAATCACATGGACAAATCAGACTGGAAGATTTGGTGGTTAAACATCACTGAACACAATGTCACGTATGTTCTGCTGCAACCCAACTCCCTGACAAGTCATCACTGCATGAGCCCTGTTCAATGGGCCATATGAAAGCAATGCATTGCTCCCCTTCTAAATGGATTTGTAGTCCTCTTTTCAAAAGTAAAACTAATTCTTTGCAAACACACACCCGAATTCTACATTGCAAACTGTTTCTGAGTAATACTGAGCCAGAGAAGAAAAAATAAAGATATAGATATCTTATTTTTAGTAAGATGCATGTAATACAAAGAGGTTGCTACTGTTTGCACGGCACGATGCTGAAGTAAGAGAAGAAAATACATCCACAGTAAGACAGTGCATCTTAATTTTACAAAACATGATAGGCATTTCATGAGGTTGCCTCAGTACTGATTTTGCTAATTTTGAGGCCAGTAATATCATCAGTATCCACTAAAATCGTGTAAGCATCTGATTCAGTTGTAAACTGATTGCACTCCTCTCCTCCAAACATTTATTCATTTTTTTAATTTGGTTTTGTTCCCCCCCCGCCCCCTCAGGAGCATATCAACATCTGTGCACTTGCTCAAAATAAGTTTGTGTGTGTGTGTGTTCGCGCTTGCATGTGTACGCACAAACACATATATGCGAGAGTTAAAAAGTGAAACAGATTACTGGAAAACTTTTACTTCACAATTTTACTGATTTCAGGGTGATGGGCTGGGAATGTTCCCAGCTTTCATTTCTGAGCTTTGGTTTAGTTCATTTTTCAGGTTTAAGGTGCTTTGGTTTAGATGACAAAGATCAAGACACTGACTGCTTTAAATAGCAAAAAGCCTGGCATGTCTACTGAAGGCTGAATATAATGAGATATTCTTTGTTTCTTCTGGCCTCCTGATGAATCATTATGCAAATCACTTCCCACAAAACAGCATACCAGAAGTCTCACATAGCAAACTTTTTTCCCCTCATGATTCTCTCTTCTTCAGCATGACAAAAATTATGATGATACAAAGCGACTGAGGAGATATAACCTCCTTTATTAGTCGAGGCTCCTTCTCTAGTTACTACTTGCTACAGAATACACTTCCTATTTGCTAAACAGCAATGTGTGTGATATGTTTAACAGGAATGTGTATGGACACTGTAAGACACAGTTATATCTGTGTGAAATAAATATTTCCAGAACAAATTTTGCTATAACATCCCAAAAAGAGAGAAAAGCCAAAACTTGGGAGTTATTTTTCTGCATGCAACTCTTGAAAACAACAGCACTTGCCCTTTGATTTCCAGATAAAGGCAACATAACCAAGAGAATATTCAACATACGTTGAAAAGCTGAAAGATCAGAGTTCAACACAGCTTCTCCCCCTCTATCAGAAAATCTCAATCAAGCAACAACATTATTTTACTACTGGAAAGACTCGCTTGAGGCTACAGCTGAATCAAGGCTGCTGCTTTGAGACTGGTTGGCTGCACCCCACGTTCCCATACACTAAAGGTACAAGCTAAAACAATGAAAGAATCAGTTTTGAAATGCCCTCTTACATATCTATCTGTTCAAATCAAGTAAGATTAAAAACAGTTCAGTTTGCTGCAATGCTGACTACGAAGTATGTCCCACAAAGGCCCATCAAGCCCACCACAGATGGCACGTGAGCAAGGACCCAAGGAGATGAAACCCAAAAACTTACTGTTCAGGCAAAACACAAAAAGCTTTGGAAAGCTTTCCAAAAAGTACTCAACACAGTGAAAAAACGTAACGAGAATATAAGATGTTACAAAAATGACCAGAACTACTTTATGTCAAGAAGTGGTATTTTAGAGACTTCATGGTTGATTTGAAAAAGGCTTCCCACCACAGGCTGAATCCACAGCCCCAACATGCAAAATTTCAGATTCTGTTCTTCCCACCTACTGCAGGGCAGACCCTCCCACTACTTTCATCTCTCTGAGATGCAGAGCATAGATACTAATGGAGAAGATTAAAAATTAAAGAACTGCCATTTCAAAACCACAGGTTATCCATTATTTTTCCTTGCCAAGTTAAAATAAACTCCTTGTCAGCATTATTTATTTTTAAATTCTGTGGTATGATGTTCTCCGCTGAGCAAGAAATATCCCCTTTGCACTGGTGTGTGTTTGTGTGTATACTTCTTTTTTGTTTGTTAAAAAAAGCATTCAAATGAAATTCAGTTCCCCAGAGCAAGGATAAAGCCAGGGATAGCCCTGGGGTGGGAAGGAAGAGCTGGGACCACCAGTAGCAGGACCTATTTTATATCATCAGGAACACTGTCAGAAAGCATGCTAACAAACAGCAATTCTCAGACAGTTATGGGGGGGGGAAAGAAGCCTGATGAAAGATTTCGCTGCTCACTAAATTGAGCCTCTCAGGCCTGTAAATCAGTCTTCTACATTGAGAACCATGAATTCTTCAGTGTTTGCTTAGTGCTCCTGAGTTAAAGTACTGAAAGTAAGATAAAGGCAGTAGCCTTCATTTCTGCCCCTTCTCCAGGGAAACCTGGGCCTCGGTTTTACATTTCCCAGTTTTCAATACACAGAACGGTTCTGAACTACTAGTGCAGCACTACATTTTGTAAAAAATCTGAAGATATTGAAAACTTGAGTTTACTTTGAAAAAGTTGTAGCTTTTGGCAAAGGTTTTTTAGGATAATTATTAGTCACATATTTTGTCCTCAAAAACATCATGTTGACTTTCAATATTCATATATTCTTTCTCCTGATCACAGTCTAAGTACACAACTTATTCCTTTTTCAATGGAAGAGGTATTTTTTGAAAGAACATTCAGCAACTGTGGATGCAAAAACTGTAGAGTCAGCAGTAAAGTCCATTTTTGTGCATTACATACTATTACTAATGTGTCCAAAGGAAAACAAGGTCCAGAAAACTTGCCTGCCTTCATTAGAAAGTATTTGTTTGCTGAAAAGCAGAATCTGAGGTGCTGAAAACTACTATTAACAGCATGTACAACAACATTTAATTACTCAGAGCGTTTTTAATAAGCAGACCAAAGGACATATTAAAGGCATGCTTATCTCTGCCAACCACAAAAGCTCATCAGGACAAAGAAAAAACCTTACTGACAGCAGTGGATAGTTATTGTTAATTTGCCAGGATTTTCTAGCCAATAGTTTTAAAATGCATACATTCCAAATGCGGTTTACCATTTAATTATTGGACTGTTAAGAACAACATTTCAGTACTTTTGGGCTAACTTGCTAATTTAAAGAGAACATCATTTCTGCAGAGACAAATGCACTAACATCTACTATAATCTGAAGTTAAGAAATACCAGAAAGGTGAAAGAAAACCAACAAGTTCCAGAATGATAGATTTAATGTTTAGATACTTTGACAGAAATAAAAGTGTATTGAGGAAACATAAGGAATGAGAATTTAAAAAAAAAAAAAAAAAGGTGCTTTTCAAATCAATGTACTCCGAGTAATAATTAACTGAAAAGTCAGACTCCTGATTTTAAGACCTGTGAAAATTTAGTAAAATATGACAGAACAACATCATATTATCACACTGTACCACTTGAAGAAAGAAGATATTTCATTGCATAAAGAACACAAGAAATAAATTCCATAGAATTCAGAAGCAACAAAGACATTTGTTTACAGTATAAAAATAAACGTAAGCTGCTATTTTTTTTTTCCCCACACCAAATCTCTTCCAAAGTAGTTCTGTTACAGGGTGTGTAAATAACATGGCAGAAAGAAAAAAACCCAAGACTGACCACACTGACACCAGTGACATGCAAGACAGCTATGTAAACCATAATCCTCATCTTTTAACTGTTGAAGTCTCATGTTGCCAACCGGAGTGTTCAACATAAATAAGGTTGCATACCTGAAATCAAATTCTCTGAGTTCACTGATCAGGTTCACAGTGTTGTGCCTCCTAAAACCTTTAAAAGCAACTGTACTAATCTGGGCCTCATGCTGCAGAGTACCCAACTTCCATCCATTCCCCTGCTTCTCTTGGGAGTCTCCTCTAGGCAGGCAGACGGCCAAGAAACTCTGTGAGGGGATGGAGAAAGGATCCGTGAAGGCAGGCAATTCTGAGAAATCAAGTTATAGGTATGCAATCTTATTTTTCTCTCAAATTGCTCCTTCTACTGAGGACCAGACTAGAAAGCAGCAGTTACCAAAAAAGAAAGGCCAAAGCAAAGATGTGCAGAAAGATTTGGCAAAATTGGGGAATTTCAGGTGAGGTTTTTTTCTAATTTATGCAATAAAAAGACTGGAAGAGCAGGTAATGAGAAGTGCCACAGGCAAGAGAGAGTTATCGTCCCTGTAAGTTCTGCCACAACAGTTCATTTTAATTAAGTAATACTTTGGTTTGGCAGAAGAGAAATTGATGTCTCATTTCCAGTTTCAAAGGCCATCCCTGCCTACAGAAGGAAGTCATGAGTAGGTCAAATAAACGGTTCAGATAGCTCACTGGCCTGTTTCAAAGACACACTAAAATAAGAACAGTAGCTTGCAATAGATACCTGAGGGTATGAATATAAACAAATAGAATATTGTACTAGCCTCCAATGATTTGCAGCTCAGAGAACTCCTGAGCTAGAGATAGTGTCTTTGCAGCTAACAGTCCTCAAGTATTTTTCCTCCATGAGTAAGCCCACTTTCCCCTTGAGCTCAGGTAAATGTCCACGATAATCTGTGACAAAGTTCCATGTCTTAATTATCTTTACACAGGTTTTTAATTTGCCACCTGCCCAGTTTCATTTGTCAGTTTCTAGTTCTAGGCTGGAAGAAATAGCAAATTATTGTTGCTTATTCATTTTTCCTTTATCCCTGATGACTTTTCGGACACCTACCATATTGCAGTCATTTTTAACCCCATCATGTTCCTGTCCATCTTTAAGAGTATGGAAAGTATTATTCCACTTTGCTGTTCTTTATACAGAAGCTGTTCCATGCGTTTGATCATCCCTGTCATCTCTTCAACTTCTTTGCTGTTCTTCTACGCCCTTCAAAGTGTGTAAGGAGGACCACAACTACAGACACAAGTCTACGATGCACCCACATCTTGAACACCATGTCTTCCGTTTCATTGTTTACTCTCTTCTTAATAGTCTACAACAATCCATTTCCTATTTACTGCTATTCAGCAAGAGGAAAATATTTTCCTTAATCTACTTAACTATAACCCCAGATCTATTATTGAGTGGAAACAGCCACAACAGAGGCCACAATTTTGTGTTTAACATTAGAGTTATGCTTTCCCTCTCCATCACATTGGTTTACATCACCTGCTAGATTATTGCCAAGAGTCCCAGTCTTGTAAGATCCTTCTGCAATCCATCACAATTGGCCTTTGTTTTTAACAATCCAAATAATTTGGTATTATCAGCAAACTTTGACAGACCGTTATTTATCTTCGGTGCAAATAAGTGAATGTGTTAAGAAATACAACTCCCAGCACATATTCTTGTGAGACCCCATCAGTGATCTCCCTTCACTGTGAAAATCAACTGTTCACTCTTATACTATGTTTCTTATCTTCTAACCAGTTATTAACCTACCTACTGGATCTTCATTCAAAGAACTTTGACGGAATAACGAGACATGACTGCCCTTTATAGGAGCAAAACTTAATCTTTTCCACTGTGGCAAAAGAATGTGTCCCCAAGAATTTTATTATAACTTCTATTATTTTATCTAGAACAGACATCATTCTTCTATAATGCTCTAGGAGAGGTATGAAAACATAACAAGGACTGATTTGCATGGAAATTGAAAACCATGGGTGGGAGACACTCAGAAGTCTAGTCCTGCACATAATAGTCATTAACCTGGCAGTAGGTGTTCCAGGTTTATCCTACCAAGTCAGTTTCACAACAGGCTCACTGAATTTGTAATTATTATTCTTTGACTTGCCACAGGATGTGACAAGTCAAACTAGGGTTTCCTCTGTCTGAGATATTACCACCAAAACCAATGGTGGAACTCAAGTTCCAGCCTCACTTTACACCGGTCGGCTCAGTGCAAAGCCAGTGGGAATTATTCAGTATATAAGGGATCTACAAGCCTTTGAATGCATTCACACACTACCAATCCACTGTACTCTGATCTACCAGATAGGCAAGTTTTCCATGTCAACCTTTGAAACAGATTTCATTCACAGCTAAAAGCTCTAGTTTCAAAAGGCACAAGAAGAAACCTTAGCTTCTGCTTCTCTGTATACACTGGCAGCCTAAAGACATTTAGGGAAATCTACTCTAATAAAATAAACAAGGCCAGGTCATAGTCCTCTGATTGTCCCTACTGCTGGATTTAATTTCAGGGTTGGTCCTGCCTAGAGCAGGAAGTTGGGCCAAATGAGCTCCGAGGACACGTTCCTACCCTAAGTCTTTCTGTGATTCCATTCAGCTGTGAGCATCTCTTTCTCAGCATGGCACTGGGCTCTACTAATAGCTTTGCCCTGTTGTGTTCCAGACAACATCTGGATGCAGTTTGTAGGACTGCATGGGTCACGAATTGGTCCTAATAGGCAGTATGATTGGCAGCATACTGTTTTGGAGGTGAAGAGGCTTTAGCCATATGGATATGAGCTCTGCTGGACGACTTGCTGAGCCACAGACCATGCTGTGACAGATTTTATTTATGAATGTAGATGTAGCTTTAGTGAGTCTCCTGAAGCCATAGTATAAATCTGAAAAAAATCAGACCTATGATGTGAAGTTTGCATCTGAACAGAATACATGTTACAGGGATTTTTCAATCCATTTCTTGTCTTAAATAGTACTTCACATTTCAAAACATTAAATAACATACTGTAATTACTCCTCATAACACTTTATGAGGAAGAAAAAAAAATTTAAGTGGAAGGCACCTGAACAGCAAGCATCAAATTGACACAGCATGTGTCTTTTATGATCTTGGAAACACTTCCAATAAGTGTCAGGTGTCACTCAGTGACAGACCTATAATTAGGACCCCAGAGTTCTTGGCTCCCAATCCCATTCAAACTTATTTCCCTGTCAAAGAATTGTAATTCCCTTACAAACTGATGTCAATTTTGCAAATTAGTCATAAGTCAAACGTGACCAGAAAAGTAAATTGTTCATTGGTAGACTTTTACCTTAACTTTTAACTCATTATACTTTTCTGTTATGTAAAAAAAAAATTCTATTCAGAAATTTTACAAACAGAAAGTGAAGATCAGCTTATGATATGACAGAACAGATTAGCTAAAAAATTAAGTTGGAAGACTATTTCTGACCAGTTATTTACTGCTTAAGTATTAGAAATAGTTTACAGAAGTATTGTATGATAATGTATTTTCGTTACCCCATTTTCGTTTTGTGAAATAGGCATCAGCACTAGGGTCATTGAAGTGTCTGCTCATCATAGTTTCTCCTCCAGCATGAAAATCGTATGCAAACACAAGAGCTTAAAAATAGAAACAGGTGACAATTACTAACTCAAGCATATTTAGAAAAAAAGTCTCAACACATCATTTGGGGGGGGCACATGTCAACCAATACCATGCACTTTGTGTTAACAAGACGAAAACCTAGAAAAGAAAAAAAAAAAAACATGGTTTAAAATGTAATGTTTTGGGGGAGAATTTTTTTACTTTAACATTTCTTCTGAAACTACTGAAAAGCAACCAGACATAAAAATATGACTAGGATGCTTAGGAATGCTAGTCTTACTCAGACAACTAAATTTTTCTCACCATGTATCCTCCGAAGGCAATATGGCAGGTCATCTTTACTATTTACAGCTTTATAGCATGATGTAATGTACCCAAAGTTGCTTGTTTTCTGTATCCGATTGGGCGGTGGCAGTGGTTCCAAAGGAAAGAGACTGTGGTAGCTGTCCACTTCCGCAGGAACTGCTAAAATCAGTTTATTCACAGAAATATATTAGTCGTCAGTTGACTTTGAGAAAGTTATTACAGCAGCAGAGAAGATTAAAATGACTGTCATTAATACGTAAATTCTTTGCACCATCTTTTAGGAGCATGTAAAGTTAAAATTCACTACTTATTCTTTGCTACCAATAGATAGGTTCCTGGAGGAGATTCCACAGAGCTAGAATAATTGTCTTCAAAAAAACAGTTACACCAAGTAAAATCAAGAGAACAGACGCATAGTTCCATCTGCCAGTTTCTCATTTGCCTTAAAAATTCACCCTTCTAAATGGCCTTTCTCTGGTGTTTTTGTCCTGCACAGATTCACAAACCAGCACCAATTTCCATACAGACTTCATACCACTCTAAGAACCCTGTTTTCATCACAAAAAAGCAAATCTGAATCTTGCATGTTTTAACATACTGGTTTAGAAAACAGTGAGAGACAGAGAGGGAGACGTGCTGAATGTTTACAAATCAGAGTAAGAGATTACCCTTGCAAGAAGAGATACACTTGTACTTCATCTGGATTAGTAAATTAAACTGCATTTTTTTTTTACTGTTGTACTGACAACTAGTACAAAGCCTTCTCTGACACACCAGCCAATTCACTTTAAAACAAACTAATTTGCTAGTTTATATACAGCCTTTGAAAATATATGCATCCTTTAAAGGGATACCTAATATCTACAAAGTAATACAATGCTGTTCTTCACGAGGCCTTAATGATTTTTCTTTTTGCAGCAATTAAGTATTCCCAACCATTAAGGAGTTTCAAAACAGAAGAAAATTACAGAAGAAAAAGAGATCAGAAGCAAGAAACAAATTTCATATTTCTCAAATAGTTTGTATCTGGTTATCCACGGTCCAGGCTGATGATTAAGGCTTCATGAAAAATTAAAAACAGGTGGTGTTTTTTGCAAGATGTTGTTGATATTGTTGAATACGCATGGTTGCAGAACAATATGATCACAGTTTAGTTTATAAGAAACACTTACTTACCAGGAATATCAGCCTGATCTATCTGGGCCATAGTTATTAAGTGTCTGTTGATCAGTTCCTGAAGAACAAATTAAGTCAAGTTTTGAACATTATAATTCAGGTCATCATTTTTGATGAGTTAACAGTACACTGTCTTTGAAGTACCAGCTACTTGTACTAAAATAGGGAGTTGATTCAAGTGGTTGGGGCAGGGTGGGGACAGGGAGAAGACCACTAGCTTGAAAACATTAAAAACAAAATATGTAAATTCTTGAAGGAAGGAGCTGCAGAAAACACATTAGCTAGAGCTACTGTTGACAGAAGCATCTACTAAAGTAAAGCTGAAATAAGTAACAAATCACAGCCAGCCCTCAGAGAAGTGCTCATCAACTAACACCTGCATATACTTTCATTTCAGTGAAAGACCTTAAAACTGCTTAAAGGAATGCTACATAAATGAACACATGCACACCAAAACAATACACAAGAAGTAAGAAACTTAGCTGAATAGCAAATCATGGCATGCACTTAGATTGCAGTCACATATATTGTAACCCGCCCCCACCCTCTGTTGTACTCCATCCATTACAGGACTTGACTTTTTGAATTCTCACAGGGAAAACTGACTGCACAGATTTTGAGTGGCTATTTCTTTTCTATTAGTGATTTTCTAGTTTTTGCCAAGATACGTGATTTTCCTTTAAATTCTCTATCACCTTACCTGTCTGAGCTCATCTGCCATGAAGAAGGAAGGTGCATTTGCTTTTGGCTGCATGTAAGCAACATGAGGTGCAGCTGGATGGTAAATGTGGTAGTTTGGAAATACCTGAAAACAAAACATTTTAAGAAGCAGTTTAAAATCCTGAAGAAGAGGGGAAACAGAGTTTTGTCAGCCTTTTACTTTGAACTACTGAACTATGAAGTCTTCATGCACAGTACACGTTACAAATATACTGTCAGATACATTACAATTTCCTTATGTGATACCCTGTCTTGAAATCATTGGGACTGAGTGTGTATGTATGTACATAGTATCTTAACATTTTTGTAACCCCCTTTTCTACCCGCCTGTGCCCCTCCACTGTAAATGTCAGAGTTATTTAACCTATCAGAAAAAAAAAAATCTGAATTTTTGATGTTTTCTCATTACATATGTATCCACTGAGATATAAATAAAATGCTTTCTTTCTATTGCTGTATTAAAAAAAAAACCCAAAACTCGACACAGAGGTAAATGAAAATACATTAAAAATTGTCTGGTCCTTACATTTCAGCGATTTGGGGGAACAATTACAACAATTAAAAGGCCAAATCTTCATACAGAATAAGGGTTTCAGAGTGTTAAAAATAATCTCTGTAGTATCAACCAATTCAGCATCTGGAAACTCAATACACTTCTGTATCGAAAGCAAACATACCATTCCTGTGAGAGGTGCTGGAGTTGTATCAGTGTAGAAGTACGTTGTTCCACCCACTGTTTCCTTCTGGATCACCTGGCCAGTAGATGGAGGCTGAGAGACAGCATTGGCGACAGAAGCAGAGGCACTAGTAGGCACCATATAGTTTGCTGGGTTAGGAGTATGACTTCTTCTTCGAGGAGCAGGAGACGTATGAGGAGTTATTTTGGGTGAATGAAGAGGAGAAGATCCTGCTGACAGTGACATTCCTTAAAGAAACACAAGGAGATATTGTTGATCAAATCTGTCACCCAAAAAAATTAGCAATTTGAAAAAAAAAACAGCCTTCACTACCAATAATATTCTGAGCAGGTGAGAAGCTTAAGGATCGATACATCTATATGAAGAGTTAAGAGGTAAAACATTAAGAGCAAGGCTGAACAGGCACATTTTCCCAAAAATCTTTGCTTAGTTCAGAGAGAAAAGGAATGATCTACACAAAGAACTGGAATGAAAGACATGGAAGAAGTAGAAAGGGGGAGATGAATCAAATTAATGCTGTGCCTAGAAGAATTATTAATCTGCAAAAAGATAAAGTATTAATGACTTTATGGTAAGTGAATGTTCATGTAAGTTACATGAGCAATCAGTGGAGTTTGCCAAGCTGTAAATCACTTCACCTAATTACATGTGCACCTTTTACTAGAACCGACTCCACAGCTATGAATGAGTATTAGAGTTAGATCTCCAGTAACTACAGCACACAAATGAGCAATACACAGTATGCTACTTTTAATAATTTTGGGGAGAAATTACCTATTCTCCTATAACTATTATATTCAAAAAATCATCCTCCAAAAGACCTATTTGATATGTAAAGATAAGTAACTTCTTGGAATATGAACTCTATTAGGCATTCATACTGAGATTTTAGAATTTGCTTAAAATTATTTTATTGACCGGTGTTTACCCTCAGCGTTACTCAACTGAAACTTGAGAAGCTCAGCTTCTAAACAAATTGCATCAGTGGCAAAAAATAAGGGCAACTTTTTTACATACATACTTTTTAGTTACCAAAAACTAGTTCAGTAACTTCAAGAGTCATTGCATGCACAATTCTCAGATATGCTGATTTGTAAAAGTTTAGATGTCAAAGAAACCTTCCAGGGCAAAGTAGTGATTATCCTTCAGAAAACTCGTAGTATTACCAGTAGAAGATCCTAGATATCTAGGTATTCAGATTAACACAAAGAAGAGCATCTATGAAACTTATTGTCGTTCAGTTCCGATTGGGCTGTACTTTCTCTTCTTTAGCAGTCAGAATTATAGTAGTTATACTAAATTCTTTTTTGAAAGTATATAAGATACACAACTTTTGTATTTAATCTTCTATTGACAGCTGAGAACTCTTCTCTAATTAAGAATTCTGTTAGTTAGTACTCAGACATTTGCTGGGTAACATCTGGTTACCAGAGCTTATAAATGGAAGCAATTTAAGCAAATATCTGTGCAACAAAAACAAGAGGAACTTTTTTTTTGCATATACACTTTTTAGTTACCAAAAGCTAGTTTAGTTACTTCAATCAAGAGTTACTTAAATCAAGAGCTCTCAATATGCATCATCAGTAATGTGTAGGAGTGTTTTTACACTCGTGTCTTGTCTCTACAGCAGTCGCATCCCTCTTACTTTTACTTTTTTCTTTTTTTAAACAAACCACAAAAGCAAATAACAATTTTAGTATTAACAGTTTAATCAGCAGTTGGGGAAAAATTATTTTGAAGCTATATTATCCTAACAATATTAACAGAATATTTGTAACCTGTTATTTGCTCCAATTTACTTTTTCGACATCTCAAAAACTATGCCTATTAATTCAACACAATTATTTCTTTTGCTCCAACAGTTTAATTCCAAGAAAATAAACAAAGATTTTAAATATAAACCATAAGAAAATCTTATTCCTTTCTCTTTAGTTGGGTCTCTTCAGACATTTATTCTCTTTGTAAAATATAAAAATATAAAATATAAGAATATAAGAATATGAAAACCATAAAAAATATAAAGTCTAGACTTTTCTGTGCCAGAACTTTTCTTTATATTAATACATGTACATGTGTGTGTACACACACCTTATAGATAAGCAATATTGTGGAATAATTGCTTGCTGATTAGTGTATTAACTTAATAAAATATAAGTTATAATACGCACTTCTAAATGTTTAAAGTTCTTCTGAATGGTAACATAAGTAGACTCCTAAAAATCTGTTTACAGATCAACTGTATGACCATAAAACATTATGCATTGTGATAGCACTAGTCCATGCTATGAAAGAAAGTTTCCATCAAAGTAAAAGTTGCCTTTAGTGACTAACACTTAAATATTTCAATAGCTACTGTATAGATGGTTACATTTAAAAAAAAAAAAAACCTGAAACGTGAATGCGTTCTTAATCCTCTGTGGGAAAAGAGCAATTTCAAAGGAAACAATGTATTACTATTAAAATTTGAAGTATGGCTAATTAAAATGGCCATAAAACTGAAGCAGCTCTACAATTTGTGTCTATGATGTTCAAGGGATTCTTTTCATCTAAGGAAAGTTATTGACATGTCTTTTTCACTCTGTTCCAGTAAAAACACAGCATTAACTGAAGTCCTTGCAAGCATGTAATCTCTACCCAGATAGAAATAACTGGCTTCAAGAAACTTTTTTCTTGAAGGAAAAAAAAACATTGAACTGTAGGAACCAGGAAAAAAACCCAGCAGCCTTCATATACACTAATGAAAAATTAACCAAAGACTTCACTACTTTAAAATAAAAACTGCACGTACAAGACAGTGTACTGTAAATCTTATCTTAGAAAGTGATGACTTGCATCCTCGCTAAAATTATATTGTGACCTTCTACTGAAAGTTTTCCAGAAAGGAGAAAAAAAAAAAAAAAAAAAAAAAAAAAAAAATCTATTCCTGCCAAAGAATAGTTACAAATATAAAACCTTAATATCTTTGCTTGGGTATTAGTGCAAGACTGAAAGAAAAAGGAAGACACATCAGAGTCACACAAATCCTTTCAAACACCCTTCCAGCCTCAGTTAGGTCTGATTTTGGAAGGACATTGAGAGTTCAATGAAAATCATCTGGTAGACAGAACACACAGGCTTCTCATTTACCAACATACACAGTAAGTTCAAGATATGAAAGAAGATTGACTACAGTTTGGGTTTATACTACTAGAACAATATACTACAAGTTACGAGAAATTTGCTGCTAGTGCTGCGGTGGGTACTGACAGGCTGAGGCAGCAAGTATTCAAGGTGATAGATTCTTCTGAGACACCTGCATTAAATTCTGTAGAGTCTAAATAAATAAGTATTAATTATTAGAAGTCCAATAACACATAAGAAAGAAAAAACCTTTTAATACAGTGAAATTGATGCAGAGCTAAGTACTTACAGACGCAAATAATTGGGTGCACAAACTCAAGCAGATCTCACCAACTTCATTAGTATTTCAATCAGTTAAAACCTTACTAATATTAATATTTAACCACAACAAAATAGAATTAGAGGACAATAAAGGAAAATGGCTGTATTAAAAGGTGAACATATATTCCTACCGACTCATACTGAAGGAAAAAGTTGGTACTGAACATATGATGGTAACAATGTGGTGAATATGGAACCACCTCTCACAGAATTAGACATGTTGTTTTCAATAGCACAATTTATATCAACAGTTATTCACTTAAGGGCCTAAAAAAAAAATGGGGTTTGAATAAAATAAATATAATTTATTTTTATA